AATGTGAGTTGGAAATCCCAGGATGACAGCACAATGGGTCAGGTTGGGATATGTCACTGGTTGCTAGGATACTGGCACATTTAGATGCAGTATTACTAAATCTACCACTTCCCACTGCATCCAGAGGTTCAACATGGCCGAAACCTATTTAGCTTTGCTGTTTGCCAAACCCCTCGAACAGCCAGAATTCAGTCTGAATCAGAGTTTAGACTGAACCAGAAGCTCATCCTAAGTATTGATGATTTTTTCTTTTCAAAACATTGACTTACTCAAAGTAGAAGGTGCCAACAAATGTAACAGCGACCATAAAATAAATTCAGAAAACCTTGCATAGGCTGGCGTTTTAAAGCCAGTGATCCTGATGTTTTTCTCTTTAACCACATTGTCTGAAACTGATATATTCTTGTCTATAAAGTGTTTCATTGGGATATTTAGAGCCTTCCATATCACACAACATCCAGGCTTCAAGAACACCCAACCCAGGGCTCCTTTTTGGTTCCCGGGTCAGTATATGGAGCACTGAGGTCTGGGCTAACCAAGAGACATTTCAGTAGGGACCACTGGGCCAATTCCTGTAGGACAAATCACCAATCATCATAGCTCAATGGTATCTTTAGCACTTGATGTACTAAGATAGATTGCTACAACTGGGTGTATATGGGAAATAAATGGGGGTTTCAATGATAAGAGAGGGTTTGTGCCCATAAATGTATTCCTTTATACATTTTATGTGTCTGTTTTAAATAAAAATGTTTGCTTTCTCTCTTATATTTGGCAGCTATTGCAGTCAATGGAATTATTGTTGTCTAAACCTATAAATTCATCTGTGCGCATCCTGAACGTCAACCGAAATGCCACTGACCATTATACTGACACGTTTGATGTTACAACTTCCTTAACAAATTTACTGATCACAGGAGATGAATCGTTCACTCTTAATTTTTCTGATCCGAATGGTACGTTCATGTCTGTAAATTTACAGTAAGAATGTCTGAATGTATATACACTACTGAGTCACTTCCAACAATTGTAAGAAGATAAAACTGATGTCTATCATTTCTAGAGTGAAATTAAAACAAATCCTTACTGCCCAAATATACAGAAAGAGTCCTGGGAGTCAGCGGGTCTCACATTATTTTAAAGTCAAACCCAAACTTAGTAGACGGGAATTCTTCTCTTCTTGGTTCACCAGAAACCTGAGATGTGAACATAGTTTATGCATTAGTGACCCCGGAGCCAAGTCATTCTAAGGGCCTTTGTTGATGGGCTTTGAGTTTGTGTCGATGGTGTCACTTTGAGATCGGTTTGAAATACTTCTGAGAACCTTTCAGAATTCAGTGACAGATGAATTTGACCTGCAATTACCCTTCTTCTGACCTACATTTAACTGCTTCAAGCAGGTTTTTCATTACCAAAGACGTGTAGAGAGAGGCAAAAATAAAAAGATGCTTCCAAATGGATTATTCATAAAGGTCAGTATTTATTGATCATAAGAACAGGTTAAAACACCATTAATGTGTTCCATGGCTCTTTGATGGTCACTTCATGAGGGAAAGATGTGCATTAATGGATGAGATCAGTGTGCTTTTCTTCAGCCTGGAGTAGACTGACAGTATACTGGAAGCACTTTTTTATTCAATGGATGCCATTGCTGGCCACACTTTGGTTCCATATTGGGGCCTCCTCACCTTTAATATACTGTATATTGAATGTGACTGTGATAAAACATGCCATTTAAAGTATTACACAAAGATTAAATTGTTACAATCATGTTGTAGATGCTCTTCGGTGCCCTAGTTTTCTGGATTGGAACCAGAAAGCGAAAGCAAGTAGAAAAAGCACTTAAAGAGGATCTTCAGCTCCCTCCCCTCACCACCTCCAAAAAAGGAAATAAAATAAAAGTCAGCAGCTATAACTGTTGTAGCTGCAAACTTTAATTAAAAGGACACGTACACATCCTCACCCAGGTCAGTTCTTCACCTGTCTTCAGGCCGCCATGTCTAATGTGGCTAAGCTGTCTGTGGCTCCTGGCTTCCCACTATGCATGCATAAGGCCCACTGTGCATTGTGAGTGGACCCACAGCCTCCTGGGACCTGTGATGCGTTCCAGAAGGCTGCAGGCAAAGACGGGGGAACTTCCTGCACAGATTGCCTAAGCAAGTGGGAGCGAGAGCCTATCAAAACAAGGTACCTGCTACACCACCCCCCCCCCCCCCCCCAAAAAAAAAAAAAATAGAGGAAGAGGAGGAGGTGGAAAAAGTGGAACTTACCCTTTTGATGAAGTTCCACTTTAAAGCTCAATTTTAGGAGAGTGCAGCAGGCAAAGGAGAAAAAGACTTAACAACTTCTGCCCCATCTCTGTGCTCCTCTTTTCCTCCAAACTCCTTGAATGTCTGGTCTACAACCAACCATCTCACTGAGAATGACCTACTTGATGCCCTTCAGCTTGGATTTTGCTCTCAATCCTCCACAGAAATGTTCTCCTTAAACTCACAAATGTTCTGCTAATGACTAAAACCAATGGACATAATCCGTGTCCAGTTAATCATTTTGACTGGTGGGCTCAACTCTGTTAAAAGATATTAACCTCATAGACCCTTCTAATACACATCAAACAATATGTAGATCACTGCTTCTATATATTATAATTTTCATTATGCAATAGCTAGGGCATGCAGCCAGGTTGGTGTTACTATGGAGGTAATATTTTGTGGATGACATGAAATCAATACATACACAATGCAGGAATTGTAGAATTTGTTGGGATTGGATTCCCACCTTTTTTGATATTCATCATGTCTAAAAGATTTATCTGAATTTCTTCTTAGATCTGTCTGCACAACGCCCCTCCCCCCAAATTGAATAATATTGTGTGAATATTACACTTACAAATCTTTGATAGCAAAATGCATTCATTAGCTTTGTTTTCAATGTTTACATGTATTTGAATTGTACCTATTTATCCTTTTTTTATTTTAGGACACATATTTTCATTTGAAAAAAATCCAGAATATTATAATAATTATTACATCTATTACCGTTACTTCGATGATGTTGCTATTCTAAGTTCCCATTTGGTAAAAAGTCCAGCTTCGGGATCCTGGATTCTGAATGCTCATGGGTATTCATCACTTTTTGTTCAAGTATTGGGATTCACTGGTAAGTTCCATTATCTCGGTGTATACAAATAATTCTGACTCTGACAGGTCCTCTTCTATGACTTGTCTAATAGAGTCAGTCCTGATATTTGGATAATGTAAAATTCAGGTCAGATTGCATGGATATATTACATTCAGGTGAATATGAATCTGGATTTTGTTGTGTTTTTTGGCAGTCTAGATTCCCAAATGTCTCCTACGAGCCACGTGACCTCCATTGAGCTAATCTCTTTGCTGTGATGCTGCAAAATGTTCTTTCCATTCTGGTATGAAAGGCAGCCCCCTCCAAGAGTTCATCTCTCCCCATTGTGGTTGAGTGAGAAGGTGGTGTATGGAGAGATTGTTGTGGTAGGACAGAATATCAGCCATTTATAGCAGTTAGCTACAGTTAGGGCAGCACGGGCCAATGTCAGTGTTCTCTTTTAAATTTTTGTACAAAAAGAAACAGATTTTTTTTTTGGAGAATCCTTTTCAAGGCGCATGCATCTTGTCAGTCTGCACCTTTCACTATTGGCAGTCAGTTTGTACTGTTGTAGTCTATTGACTTACAAGTTGTCATCTGGAACAATTTGTGGAATTGATGCCTCACAAACAATATTTATGCATCTCTGCCTACTGCTGTTGTTCTCTTTCCATCCCAAGGTTTCTGACACCTTCCAGGCCCACTCACCTAGTAATATCTACGTATCCTTGGCTTCATTTGGAGTGAGAGGACGACACCATGTTGTTCACCACCCACCATGTCGTACACCCCCCCCCCAACCCATCTGGATACTTTTTTTGTACAGATTGTTAATGTGTAAGAGATTCACAGGCTCTGTTTTTTGTTTTTTTTTTCTTATCCAGATTGTATCCCAATTTTTTAAATTGTTTTTGACCCACTGTCTTATTATGCAGAACTGTTAGGAACTTCACAAGCAATTTTTGGCAAGGTGATGAAGGGCGTTCTACCAATTGTTTATTGTTGTCATTGGCCTTTTCTATAATCAAGTATCATATAACTCTCTATAATGAGCATTTAACCAGAACCATTGGAGGTTATATTTGGTAGGATTTTTAGCAAATTTATGAAAATTTGGAAAAATTTTGGCATATTTGCAGAAAAAGGTTTTAAAGCGGTTCTAAAGGCAGAAGGTTTTTCTACATAAATGCTTTCTCTGCATTTAAGTAAAAAAAAAACTGTGTGAACCCCCCCCCCCAGCCCCCCTTATACTTACCTAAGCTCAGTATCAACCCAGAACTGTGCCTGAGAGCTCTCCTCACTGGACAAAGAGGCAACAGTGGGAGCCATTGGCTTCTGCTGCTGTCAATTACAGCCAGTGAAGAGAGAGCGGGGAGTTGGTCATTCCACACTCTTGTGTGTCAATGGACACACACAGCACAGCGTGAGAGTAAGTTTGCAAGAGTGTACCCACAGCAAGTCGGTGACTATGGGGGGCACTTGAAAGGAGGGATGAGCCAAGAATGGAAGGAGGGTTGAGGCTTCTCTGTACAAAACCATTACACAGAGCAGGTAAGTATGACATGCCTGTTGTTAAAAAAAAATTGGTTTACAATGTTTTTTTTTAATTCTTTTTATTACATTTCAAAAGTTTAGTTACAAAACAGAGCTTATTGGGCATACCCAGGTTTGGCACAGTATACAGTATACAACATCCAAACATACCCTACTCTAACAAGTAACTAAGAGGTACTCTCAACTTCACATAGCAAGGCTGAATGAGAACATTATCCATCTCAGGGGGTTCAAAAAGAGGGTGGGTATACCCCATAACAGTACTAAGAAAGGGAGCATGGATCTCCATGTGAACCATAAAGAAGACCATAGGACTTTTCCCTTCTCATAGTAGGTCAAGCTGGGGGTTTTGGGGTTCAGCAGTGGTGGACAAGGACTCCACTCCTATGTCCCTGTCACGATCAGGGATCAGGCTCAAAGACCAGTTGAAAGAAAGACTCACACCAAAACCGACAGGATAGGTACATAGGCAGGTCACCGTGGCAGAGGAGTGGGCTCACCTGAGGTGCGGAGTCTAAGTACTATCCGATGTTCACCAGAGATGGATTTTGCTGCATGTTAGCACAAGGTCACAGTCCTCACATTCACCCCAACAGGAGGTGAGCAAGTGGAGGTCCAGTAGCGTATTAAGCAGGTAACGATCAAACGGAATTGTGGTCAGTAAACAAGCCAAGGTCGGTAATGAGCAGTCGCAGGTTGGGATCAGGCAGAAGCGTAGTCGAGAACAAGCCAAGGTCGGTAATGAGCAGTCGCAGGTTGGGATCAGGCAGAAGCGTAGTCGAGAACAAGCCAAGGTTGGTGATGAGCAGTCGCAGGTTGGGATCAGGCAGAAGCGTAGTCGAGAACAAGCCAAGGTTGGTGATGAGCAGTCTCAGGTTGGGATCAGGCAGAAGCGTAGTCGAGAACAAGCCAAGGTCGGTGATGAGCAGTCGCAGGTTGGGATCAGGCAGAAGCGTAGTCGAGAACAAGCCAAGGTCGGTATTGAACAGTCGCAGGTTGGAATCAGGCAGAAGCGTAGTCGAGAACAAGCCAAGGTCGGTAATGAGCAGTCGCAGGTTGGGATCAGGCAGAAGCGTAGTCGAGAACAAGCCAAGGTCGGTAATGAGCAGTCGCAGGTTGGGATCAGGCAGAAGCGTAGTCGAGAACAAGCCAAGGTCGGTAAGAGCAGTCGCAGGTTGGGATCAGGCAGAAGCGTAGTCGAGAACAAGCAAAGGTCGGTAATGAGCAGTCGCAGGTTGTGATCAGGCAGAAGCATAGTCGAGAACAAGCCAAGGTCGGTAATGAGCAGTCACAGGTTGGGATCAGGCAGAAGCGTAGTCGAGAACGAGCCAAGGTCGGTAAGGAGCAGTCGCAGGTTGGGATCAGGCAGAAGCATAGTTGAAAACAAGCCAAGGTCGGTAATGAGCAGTCACAGGTTGGGATCAGGCAGAAGCATAGTCGAGAACAAGCCAAGGTCGGTAAGGAGCAGTCGCAGGTTGGGATCAGGCAGAAGCGTAGTCGAGAACAAGCCAAGGTCGGTAATGAGCAGTCGCAGGTTGGGATCAGGCAGAAGCGTAGTCGAGAACAAGCAAGGTCGGTAATGAGCAGTCGCAGGTTGGGATCAGGCAGAAGCGTAGTCGAGAACAAGCCAAGGTCGGTAATGAGCAGTCACAGGTTGGGATCAGGCAGAAGCGTAGTTGAGAACAAGCCAAGGTCGGTAATGAGCAGTCGCAGGTTGGGATCAGGCAGAAGCATAGTCGAGAACAAGCCAAGGTCGGTAATGAGCAGTCGCAGGTTGGGATCAGGCAGAAGCGTAGTCGAGAACAAGCAAGGTCGGTAATGAGCAGTCGCATTTTGTGATCAGGCAGAAGCGTAGTCCAGAACAAGCCAAGGTCGGTAATGAGCAGTCACAGGTTGGGATCAGGCAGAAGCGTAGTCGAGAACAAGCCAAGGTCGGTAAGGAGCAGTCACAGGTTGGGATCAGGCAGAAGCGTAGTTGAGAACAAGCCAAGGTCGGTAATGAGCAGTCGCAGGTTGGGATCAGGCAGAAGGTCGAGAACAAGCCAAGGTCAGTAAGGAGCAGTCGCAGGTTGGGATCAGGCAGAAGCGTAGTCGAGAACAAGGCAAGGTCGGTAATGAGCGGTCGCAGGTTGGGATCAGGCAGAAGCGTAGTCGAGAACAAGCCAAGGGTCAATAACAAGTGGTAACAAAACATGGATAACAGCAGAGGAGGCAAGGAGCAAGATACTGGCTGGAAAGCACAATAATCTGGCAAATAGGAAGTGCAGAGACATGGCTTATATCAGGAAGTTCATGGGAGGAGCAAGGGGTTCAAGGTTCATGATAAACAAGGTAAAGGTAGGATCATCCAGATAATTGTTAAGGGAGCTGTCCAGCCTTCCAGTGGCTCAGCACAAAGAAACATTGCCACTCACTGCAGAAGGCCTAGGTTCGGACCCAGGCTCTGACAATCCCAGGACTTATTTTTTTTTTGGGGCAGCTCCTAGATACATAAGTGGCCTTATACAACAGCAAATTGACCACGAGTTTTCAAAAATGTATAGTGGGAGCAACAGGAGACTTCCACTTGAATACAATTGCTTTTCTGGCATAAAATAACAATAACCCAGGAAAGGTTTTTTTTTTTTTTTTTTTAAAGGTGACCCTAAACTTAACCTTAAAGGTAACTATTACCCCTTTGTTTATACCTAGAGCCATGTGACCACCAAGACAATGTAGGTGCAATGTTGGCAATCACATGACTTTATTATCAACAAATCCATGAACTAGCTGTGACAATGCTTTGCCTTTTTTTTCTTTTTTTGCTGAAGAGACTTTTTGGATTTTTTACAATCTCAAGAAGACTTCATTAGGCATAAAGGGTTCATTTTTGGTTGGATGGGCAATACATCTACATTGCTAAGATGGCTAAATAAAATAGATGGAATCAAGAAGCATCTGTGACTAGGGATCCTAATGATTTCTCCTGTAGGTCTGATGTCAGCTCTTCCAGACCGCAGACTTCACATTATAATTTACCTCAACAGGTTCACTTATGAGACCCCCTTTAACCCCAAAGCCCCATAGCATCTGCTCAGGCTGCTCAGGCTATAGTTTTTCCACTTCTGGTAAAGTCCTCAAATTCCGCTCTATCTTATCTACGTATTATTTTCTGTTCATTGGATGGAAATCAACATGAACTGAATATACCAATATTTGAATATATGCTTTTAAAAATGTGTGGCCCTCAATCCAGTATGAATGCAATGCTATCCGCACATAGCACAGCATCATGTAGAGTGGAACAGCATCATGTAGAGTGGAATGTGATCAATGTTTAAATGAGTACTCCAGAATTATTGTTGTCACAAAATGCCACTTTATTTGGAATGATGATTTGCTGATTGTAAGAGATGCATGCCAAGAAACAAAATCTAAAGTTCTTATTTTTCCATTTTTTTGTAGGCTTGGACAAATCAGGTAAGCCCAACACTCAATAACTTTGTGATTTCCTTATATGTGTCAAGGTCCTACCTTTTCCCTGAGGTTATGTTACTCCATGTGCTGGCGTCCATCTTGGATTCTGCTGTGCATGGTGGGAATCCTTTTATGCCTTCAGGTCTCTGAGGTCCATCCCCCAGAGGGGTGTGGCTGATGACATATAAGCCTGTGGCCTGCCTGCACATGCTCTTTGCACTTGTGTCTTTGTCTTGCTACAGCTCTGTGTATACGCTCGTGACTCTTCTGGTATCTGACTCGGCTTGTGACTAGACCATTCTCTGTGTTTTCCTTCGATCTGACCCTCCGTTGCTGAACCCGGCCCGTGACCTGTTATTCTCTGTCTACTGTTTTGTCCCGTTGTTGTCGACCCGGCTTGCCTGACTACGCTATTGTCATTCTCACCAGCTACACGCTATTGGCGGCGGCCATTACCGCAGCCGGGGTGTCTCGGGGGCCGCGACCTGGTTCCTGGCTGCGTCAAGTCCATCCCCACCATCAGGGGCCCTGGTGAAGGGCAGCCTGGGACTTAGACTCCGCGCCCTGAGGGACTTCGGTCTGTTGGTGGTGGTTGTCGTCAGCCAGTGCGTTACCCTGCCACTAGGCCTACCTGTCTGTTCCACAGCCCTGCCCTGACATTATGTTTATAGTACAGTTGTATTATCTGTATAGAGCGCGGTCTATCTGATGATATTCAATATGGTCATCAAGCCAGAAATATACAGAACAAAACTTCTGCTTTTAGTTTGGTTTGCTTTCTACAACTGATACCTTTTAAGGTTTGGATGTTTCCTGTACTCCCTGAAAGGGGGAAATGTATTGAGGCATTGGGGTTGATTTACTAAAACTGGAAAGTGCAAAATCTGGTGCAGCTTTGTATAGGAGCCAATCGGCTTTTAATTTTAACTTTTTCATTTAAGCTTTCACAAAATCCTGGAAGCTGATTGGGTTCTATGCAGAGCCGCTGTCACGGTGTAAGGTCAGGTTCAGAGACCAGTTGCTATAGCAGTAAAAGGCTTACCTGAAACCAGCAGGATTGGTACACCAGCGGATCCCCCTGGGAATGACGCAGGCTCACCTGAGGTGCGGGGTCTAAGTATTAACCGGTATTCACCAGAGCTCCTAATGGTGGAGATGGATTGGGCTGCGTGTTAATACCATGTCGCAGATCTCAGGATCACCCCACCAGGGAATGAGCAGACTGGGAACCAATAGCGGATCAACAGGTTAGGGATCAGACGAAAGCAGAGTCAGTCACAAGCCAAGGGTCGGTCACAAATGGTAGCAGATCAATTGTAGTACGTTAGGATGAGACAAAATCGTGGTCAGGAACAAGCCAAAGATCAGTAGCGGAGGTGTAGACAGCAGCAGGAACAGTAGCGGGATATTGGCTGGAAAGGCACAATAATCTGGCAAGGAGGAAGTCCAAGGACATGGCTTATATAGGAAGTTCATGGGAGGAGCAAGGAGTTCAAGGTTCAAGAGCAAACAAGGCGCAAGGCAGGATCATCCAATAGAAGAGGCAGAGTGTTGTCCAGCATCCTAGGTAGCTCAGTGAGAAGAGTTACTGCCTGACACAGTAGAAGTCCCAGGTTCAAGTCCAGGCCCTGACAGCCGCACCAAATTTTGCCCTCTCCAGTTTCAGTAAACCCCCCCCCCCATTGTGTCAGTCAGCAAAGTCTGCGCAACAGTTTGCATCTCTATTTGTGACCCCTGTTGCAAAGTGCAAATGATTTATGAATTCTGTTGGTCACGAGGTCTGAGAAAAGGTTAACACTGGAGATGAGACAGATTTTCAATCAAAACAGACGCAGATTTAAGAAGTGATCAATGGCCGGGTTTATTCTGTCACAGGGCCATTTTTTGTTACAATTAGTCTTAATTTGGTTTTGTAAAAGTGATTGGTGAAGAGACGAGAATTATTACATTAAAAAAAAAATTAAAATCACAAAAGGTGAAAGAACACATCAGGTTCAATAAGTTGCGTGTTATGCTTGAGATATGAAATCATACATCAATGTACGAGGCAGAAAAACCGAACTGAAATTATTATGGTTATATCAAACATTCGGAGCGAACACCAGAATGTTAAAAACCAAATGGAGGGTTTTATTCCAAAGCATGCAACGATCTCAATAGCCAACGTATTCTGGAGGACTCGCCTTCATCAGAGCTTAGGAAAATGGCTTTTAGGGAACACGAGCTGGGAATAGGACCAGGATAAATGTGTACTAAAAGTGTTGATCCTCCTTCAGAAACTGATGAACACAGCAAGGAGATTGAGACAGTTGGTACACAATTATCCTGATCTCTTTTCCAACTCAAGTCCTCCAAAAGCCATTTTTTTAAGCCCTGATGATGGGGGTTGGCTGACGCCCCTGAAACACTTTGGCTATTGAGTTCGTTTGGAATAAAACCTTCTGTTCAGATTTTAACATTCTGAAGTGGTACTCCAAATCTTTGATCCAACCATTATACCCTTAAAGTTTCCAGTGGAGGTCCCTCAGTGTATGGAAGCAGGCTACATATCACTCAGATGCCCCATTGGGATAATAGTACTGTGACAATACCAATCATTCAGTGAGGTATTTAAACAGCCTGCAATTTTGCAAGTTCTCCCACTTCTCCATCATGGAGGGGTCTGACATTCACATTGTAGGTGCATTCCCACTCTGAGAGACAGAATTTTTAAAAAAAAATTCAGGAGATCACATTGTATGATTTGTAAAGAATGTATTTGTCTCGCACTGCTGAACAGAAGTATTTGAACACCTAAGAAACAGCAAGAATTCTGGCTCTCAGAGACCTGTTACTGCGCCTTTAAAAAGTCCACCTCTACTCCACTCAATCTAACTTAGTAGCACCTGTCTGAGCTCTTTAAAGAAACCTGTCCACCCCACAGTCAGTCAGACGCCAACTACTACCATGAGCAAGACCAAAGAGCTGTCAAAAGACACCAGAGACAAAATTGTGGACCTCCACAAGGCTGGAAAGGGCTACGGGGCAATTGCCAAGCAGCTTGGTGAAAATAGATCAACTGTTGGAGCAATTGTTAGAAAATGGAAGAGGCTAAAGACGACTGTCAGTCTCCCTCGGACTGGGGCTCCATGCAAGCCCCAAAACCTGACAGATCTAGAGGAGATCTGTGTGGAGGAGGGGGCCAAAATCCCTGTTGCAGTGCAAACCTGGTCAAGAACTACAGGAAACGTTTGACCTCTGTAATTGCAAACAAAGGCTTCTGTACCAAATATTAACACTGATCTTCTCAGGGGTTCAAATACTTCTGTTCAGCCGTGCAAGACAAATACATTC